GAAATACAAAAATGGAAACAATTTGTAGAGAATTATGTACCATTGCCTCATATGAATGGTTGCCACGGGTTTCAAAAGATGTATGTTCATATTTGTTTTGTGGAACTACTTATAAAGAAAAGAATAAAAATGAATTGCATAGTTGATATTTTTCTTGGATTGCATTGCATTTAGTTTTGCGCAAATTGAAAAGTAAAACAATATACATTATTTGCTGAAATGAATGTATTTTTTAAATACACAGTAAGAGCAAAAAAGAATGTTTAATATTGAACATCGACTTGTGATGTTCTTAAATGCATGAGTGTAGTTGAACTGAAATCAAAGGAAAAGATAAAATAAATTCATAAATTATATAAAAGATAATATAAGTTTTAAAAAATCACATATTCACTAGATGAATTTTCGTTTCCCTTTGTCATTCTGTCCCTATATCCGTTCATTTATTGTCGTAATTCCTGTAAAATAGTTAATGATTTCATTTCACATTCAGGAAAGAAAACATTACTTTCCTGTACCAGTTCCTAACAATTATCTAGTTTTATTAATACTTGACACTAATAACATAATTATTTGCATATACGTAGCAGATATATTTGTAAGTATTTCTGTTGACATATTTGGTTACCCTGAGCATATAAGCGTATATTACATACACATTTAGACCCCGTGAGGATCCGGGTTAGAATAGATCCTCAGTACCCCCTTGCTTGTCGTAAAAGGCGACTAAATGGGGCGGTCCTTCGGATTAGACCGTATAAACCGAGGCCCCGTGTCACAGCAGGTGTGGCACGATAAAGATCCGTCCCTGCTCAATGGCCCTGAGTGCCGAGCAAAGGCCCAAATTTGCAGCCCTTCACCGGAAATGGTGACGTCTCCATATCAGTGAAATATTCTGGAGAGGGACGTTAAACAGTATACAATCAATCAATCAATACATATACATTTAGCGATATGTTTGTAGAAAGTAAAATATAATGGACAAAACAGTTTAAGACTTTAAATATCAGGAGCCAATTTCGTTAAACAACACAATCAATCAATATTAAATATCTTTATTGGCTAATTTTCTTTTTTCCCTCATTAAATGCAGATATTTCCCATTGAAGCAAAACAAATATAAATAATAATATTTATGATTGAAAAAAAAATTACTAAATGATTATTTAATTTTTAGCTAAAAACTTAAAAATAATGTATATTTTGTCTTTAAAATATTGGACGATAAAACGCTTTTATATGCTTAAATGTGTTCGTCTTTTTTTCATTCTAACAATATATAATTTACCAATGACGTTTAGTTGAGACAATGCAACAATCTTTAGTTTATGTTAAATGTTTTAAACGTCTATAAAATAAATTCAATTAAACATTATTAAATGTTGTAATTTTCATTCGATTTATTTTTTATATATCTTTTGCACATAATATCTGATAATATGATACCACATATAAAATATATGGACACAGAAACAGTACTTTTGGATCAGCACTCGTACAAATGTATGTAACAAAAAGATACATTCAATGTAGAAAATATATTTACCTTTTTATTATTAATATCCAACCTTTTACCAGGACGCTTAGGGAGCTTAATCAAATTTAAACTAAAACAAAGAGGAAGAAAATATCAAATGAATGAGTGCTTTTTACTTTTTGACCGAAACATTATAGGACGTTTGAACTCTTCTTGTATGGGAACATAAATAAACAGGAAGCACTTAAAAATAATGTGTACACATTTAAAAGTTCAGACATGCATAAGCCGCACTATAATGTTCTTTTTTTTAAATAAGTATTACTTAAAGTAATTTCATTCACATCTTTTATTTGATCAATCTTGACGTTAATTGCAAACAATAGATTTCGTTGCTCTGAAAGATGAAAGTGTGATGGAATTTAGAACTTGAATATGATTCTTATTGTACAAAAAATGATTTCTTCTCCATATTTGTCAGTAACTAATCCCCTGTGTATCTTAAATAAGAATTAATGGGAGATTGAAAGAATATTATGCGCTCAAAATTATTAAACCGAACCACTTATTTTTAAAAAATGCATTTTTATCGCACAGGGAAACATTTAAAGTATTTTTCATTCACAATGACTATAGTATTGAAAATTGACAAAATGCTCACAATGTAAATTCTACACGTGCAAAGACATACCGGTAACTAGAGATTCAAAATTCAATCTTCATGTTTTATTTTTACCTTCTCAATGCAGAAAAAATTATAAACAAAAATTTAAAACAGATGGTCTCTTGGAAGTGAAATTTGTTGTTATAACCAAGTACAAGAACAGTCAGCAGTTAAACTTTATCATAACAAAACAACTTCACATGTGTGACTGGTTACAAACAATCACTAAGGTTACAGCCATTTAATCTGATCAATGATGCTAATTATGTTTGTTGATGGGACCTTGTGATCAAAGGCTCTTTAAATTGACAGACAATTACAAATTTTGTCACTAAAATTAATCAGACATTTCCGTTTTAAAACTTCGAAGTAAAGTGTTTGTTTTAATAGCTTAGAAAAATAAGCCGAACATTTTTTGCCCACATAGTCTGAAATATGGCCTATCAGACCCCTGTAACAAGATTGTGAAATAAGTCATTCGACTTGAGAATGAGCCTTATTTTAGAATGTTCTATTTATCTATTGCAAATTTGTGTCATACTGTTATTAGAGATAACCTTTTTGTTACGTTAAATCTGTAAGTCACATTGATACTGAAAAAATTGGGTTAAATATTAAATGAAATAGAAGATACACTGTGTCAAAAACTTAAAATTTACATGTAAATATCCGACAGTTAAAGTTTTTTAAGAGAAAATGTATAATTCAAATTTTACAAAAAATCAACAAAATGATTCAAATGGGTCCTGGAATAAAATGTGTAAAAAGAAAGAAAATTGAATTTGTGGTTTAAGATATTTTGGCAATTAAAAAAATCAATGGCAAGAAAACTAAAAGATTCAGTAGATGACGTCATGATATTTGACCTCTGACCTCTTGATATGACCTTGACCTTTGTAGTACATAAAGAATGGAGACTCCTTATATATGTGTCCAAATATCATTCCTCTACTATTCATGGAACAAAATTTACACTGCATTTTATAACAGACTGTTACATGCTTGTGTATTGCTTTTAGATAGTGTAAACACATTCCAAAATGTAAGCTCTCAATTGACCAATATATAGAATTCTCTGATTTTTTTAAAAATTTAACGCTAATATGCCAAAACTTAATATTTTTCTTTCAGAGATCATTCATTGTTGTCAAAAGAGTAAAATTATTCTTTTTTCCTCCAGTTCTTTTTAAGAAATGGGTTAAAATAGAATCCCCGGGTGTTTTGTCCTACCTAAAGAACTATTCGTTCTAAAGGAAACATTTGACCTTATTTTACTTACCCTCTATGATTTTTGAAAACTGCACTGAATGTGTAAATTATTCAAGCTTCAATAAAAATTGGAGCCTTGAGATATAGATGTTAACTATTCTTTGATTGCATGACGCAATTGCGAAAGATTTACAGTCGTCCGAAATACTAGAAGAAGGATATGGACATAACGAACAGTATTCAATCTCAAAGTCCATTAAACAATATACAAAATTCAAAGCAGAGCACAGTTCACTGAATAATCGTTATTTATTAATTATATTTCAATTGCATTCTTTGATGTTGGCAAGAATATTAGAAGAAATCCTGGCTTGAATAAGAGCGCGGTTTGTTGTCTTCAGTAAAGAAAAACACACGGCTATAAAATCAGTAGACTTGATCACTGCATATTTTCTCTAATAAATCAAAAACGATTTATAAAGTATTTTCCTCTCAAACATCTGTGGATACAAGCTGTGCCGATATCACATTCTTTTAATTTTTGTTATGATGCAGTTGTGACGTCACCGATCAACGTTATCGAAACCCTCTGACAAAAATCAATTATTTAACACTATGATGGAATAACAATGCTTTAATAATGATTGTAACTCAAGAATGCTTTTTTATAATTTTTTTAAGTTCGTTTATTTCATTTAGAGCTAAATCCTGCTTGAAACAGCTATACTATTAAAGAAATCTAGCATTTTCTGAATGTTTAAACAATCAAGATTGAAGAGTTATCGTTTTTCTTACAAATATGTGAAAATACGATAAGACAAAATAAAAGTATAGACATTTTCCTCAATGTTTTAAAAAAGAATTATACAATTAAATAATTGACCAAAAATTAATTTTTAAGGATAAAAATCTGCTGTTATAAACTTTTCTGAATTTCCTTTTCTACAGAGAATATTTTTATTATTAAAAACTTATATTCAATCCCCTTGCACAACATTTCATATATATACTTCTGAACGCGGTCTTTTAAGAAGTAGAGCTTGAACTATGAAAGTGTGAAAAAGGAATTGCCCTCATAGCAGAGTTAAGGACTATAGTTTCTATTGCGCAATATTCCCAAGGGTTACATGAGATGATAGACTGGAATTTCCGCTGTAGGGAAGGAAAATAATCTATGCTCCAAGTGTAAATAAACACGAACTCTCAGATGAAGATTTTGAGCAAATTACAAGGACAAAACATACCAGTATTTTAAAATTTAGATTTCCAGAGTTTTTGTCACATTTTTACTTCTATAGACTTGTCATGGCAAGTTTGGACGAATAGGAGGCACAGATAGACGGTAAACTTCCACAATTGCAAGGACAATAAAAATTGAATCGATTTAGGTTTTAGTAGAACACAAATTCACCTACTAAATGATACCTAGAACTCAAGACCTTTGCAGGAAGAAGTCATAGTGAAGATTCGTTGTAAGGTTGAATCATTTTTAGAACAACTAACACGCACTTTTCATAAACCGGTTGAATATTTTCCTGGATTTGCCTGCAAACCAACCAATGTCACAGAGGAAAGCGATGATGCTGTTTTCATACGTGATTTAGAAGCAGTTGAGTTTTATTCAGCTTATCCTTCTGTATCGTCCTCACCATGTCCACGACATAATAGAGATGAACATGATCTAAGTTGGAAACAGATGCTCAAGTACTTAAGAGAGGTAGTATCCAACAAAGCCATGCCTTTTTATTATTCTTTTTTTTTAATTTGATTAACAATCAAACATTTAATCATAACCTTTATTTCAGTTACACTAACATTATAGAATGTTAAAAGTCCATTAAAAGGATTCAATATGTTCAATTATACAAGTAGAATATAATTCTTTCCTTTTTTATATAAATTTGAATTAATTCAATTCAATATTTTTAGCCTAGAAACAGAAGGGGGACATCTATGTTGAAAGAGGAGAATCATCTGTGAAAGAATGTTTCCACTTAAGCATAGTGCCGTGGCCCCTTTTTTGGACCCCTCTAACTTTATCTAATTAACTCAAATCTTAATAATTTTACATCTAACCAATATTTTGTTATCAGTGTGGTACATTACTTGCAAAAAATTTTATTGAAAACAGCGCTTTAGTTTTATTTAAGGTAATTAAAAAAGCCCTCTAGTGGATGTTAATTCCGGAATGTTGCGCTTGTCCGAGTTGGGTTTTAATTGTGTCACATTAATATTCGGAGTAGGCGGGGCATTTTATCGATCGATTGAAAACGTATAAATAGCCAGTTACAATGGCTACAAAATATACAGAAAAGTAAACACAAAGAACTTCTCAAGCATTACGCTAGTTTTTTTTTTTTTTTGGGGGGGGGGGAGGGGCTGGGTAATCTTGCATGGGGATGTACATGTACTCCCTCCCTAAATCAAGATTTTCCACTCAATTTTAGTCGTTTCTAATTTAGGTTAAAATTTAACACTTTACTTAGATAAACTGATAAAATAAGCCTACAAGTTTGTAAATAAAAACGGAATAAAATCCCATTTAAGAAAAAACTTCTCTAACTTTTATCTTCTAAAAAAATTAGTGCTGTGTCGAATCTCTCTCTCTCTCTCTCTCTCTCTCTCTCTACGTACTTTTAACAGTACAGTAAATACTTAGTACATATAATGGTGTACAGAATTCTTTTGTTGTTGTGATGCTGCGTGTGGTGTGGTGATATTTTATTACCATAAAACAATTTCATTAAATGTATGTACGTGTGATTTCTTTTTTTTTGTTTGCTTGTTTTTTTTTTTCGGAGGAGGGGGGGGGGGTCCCAGAAAGGAATCCAGTGTTAAACCATCTACGTACTTTATACCCTGTGTGCATAATAATATATTTTTACAGTAAAACACTTTGAGGAATGATGGTATTGCGACGATTGGGACTTAATCTCTTTGAAATTCTTTGACCCTCCAAACGTGCCCCTAAATCCAAGGACTACAATAAATAAAATATAATTACATTTTGTCGAATTTTATATTCCATTACCCTATAAAAATACTAAGCCGAAAAAAGAATTCGATGTTGATTAATTGAAAATGTACATATAACGGTACAAGTTGACCGCTTTTCGATGCTGTGTTATCAATCGGAGCTTTAGCCACGTGTTTTATTGATTTTTTTGTATTCACAAAGTTACCTGAGTCTACAAATCACGTGATATATTGGAATACTAAACAGGTCACAATGAGGTCAATGACATGTAAATACCCGTAAATAGCGAAGAAAACGATCGGCGTTTTGTACCTTTTTTTCAAAAAGTTTACCCCGAGCGCAGGCTTGCCCAAAATTCTCCTTTAAATATGTTGTTTTTCCAATAGTTCTACACCTTCTGTCCTTTTGAGAAATTTGGGCAAGAATGCGCTCACCATGTATTCCAGCTTTAAAGATCGGAATACCTTTGAATAACAATGGAAATTCATGAATTGCAGTGACCCCTCTTACAAAACACAGCCTCGATCTTTATTCTTACTTACTTTTAATTCCTATAATTTTGCAAAGTTGCGATTAAGACCTAGAAGAATTGCTTTATTCATCTCATTAGGCTACTTTCTATACTTTATTTTTGCACAATTTACCGGGGGCCACTTTTTGTACACTAAGTCCAATCATTCTTTATTTAGTCTGATTCAGTACGAATCTTTAAATCGACAAAAAAATATAATTTGGGCGCAGAAAATTACAATGTAAATAAGTGTATAAACTCAAATACATATTTCCGACATGAACGTCATTCTTTTATTTCTTTCTAAGTGATCATGAAATATTTGGTCATTTTTTAACTATTTATAACAGGTACCTTTGGACGCAATTTAATGTATTCAAATTTTTGTCAAGTATTACCCGTAAAGTTATGTAACAAAAGAAGTTATAATATATCAAATATTTTAATCTAAATAAAGGATCATTTCTGTATAGTCCAGTAGAATATAAATCATGTTCTTTCCACTAATGCTGATGATCATCTTCACTTGATTAAAACTTAAGTTTTAGTTTATTATATACAGTCATGTAAAAATATATAAATTATAAAAAAAAATGAATTATATGAATGATTTTTCTAAACATTACATTTTACAAGGCCCTTTATAAAACATGAAATTGTCAGCATGAAAATATCGAAAATTGAACTGATTAAACCATTACTGATTCTTAAAAAAGAATACGTAGATCAAGATATATAAGACATCTTGCCGTGTTTCCGGCAGCAATTACTGGAATACATAGTGTGAAAATATCAGAAATTCAACAAAAGTTGAATGTTTAAAGAAAACTATCTTAGAGATTACCACCACATATCTTAATTTTTGTGCTTTTTTATCTTACATTTCATTCTTTACAAATCCTATATGGAGTCTTTTTCTTTTAAGATCGGGCTGTACTTTTAGAATTTTCTGTCAGACTATAAATATTAATGTTTTGATTTGAATGAATTGAATAAGTTATAAACTAAATAAAACACAAATAAAAGACATCTTCGCAGAATAATTTCGATACAACATATATCAGAGTACACGCCTCTAGAAATTCAGCAACTAATTTTGAACATAAAGAAGTGTGATAACATTTTATTTAGCTTTCGCCTTTGCACAAAATTACATCAAATTTGTCTGAAAACTTGTGAAAATCAGAAATATTCATTTGCCAATTAAGAGAATATTTGAAATCTTGATTGAAAAAGATTAAAAAAAGGATGTCGAATCTGTCCGTGTGTTTAAGAAAAAAAAAATAAAAATGTCCCTATTCTTAATACTTCTTGAATTTAAACTGTTTATATGCCATTTTTAGGTCACCTGAGTAAACTCAGGTGACCTATTGCTATCCGTTTTCGTCCGTCGTCGTCCGTCGTCCGTCGTTCGTCGTGTGTCGTGTGTTAACATTTGAACATTTTCAGCTTCTTCTCTGCAACCACTGAACCAATTTCAACCAAATTTGGCACAAAGCATCTATGGGTGAAGGGGAACAAAAATTGTGAATTTCATGATCCCTGCCCCCCTGGGGCCTGAGGGGTGGGGCCAAAACCACTAAAATTAATGCAATCTTTAAAAATCTTCTTCTTTACTCCTGGACATCAAGCAGTCAAACTATTTGCATGATTGTAATCAGCATTGAGTCCTCTACCAAAATTATGAAATTCATGGCTCTGGGGTCAGGGGTTCTAGTGCTAGGGCGGGGCTAAATAAGTATATAGTGAAAATGCATTATTTCTTTGAAAATCTTCTTCTCTGCTCCTGGGTATCAAATAAACCAACTAAGTACATAGTTATGATGAGCAAGAGTGCCTCTACCAAATTTGTGAATTTTATGGCTCCAGGGTCAGGGGTTCTGGTGTTAGGGTGGGGCTCTATTGATTATATAGTAAAAATACATGATTTCTTTGAAAATCTTCTTCTCTGCCCCTGGGTATTAAATTAACCAAGTAAGTAAATAGTTATGATGAGCAAGAGTGCCTCTACCAAAATTGTGAATTTTATGGCCCCAGGGTCAAGGGTTCTGGTGTTGGGGTGGGGTGGGGTGGGGCTCTATTGATTATATAGTGAAATTACATGATTTCTTTGAAAATCTTCTTCTCTGCCCCTGGGTATTAAATAAACCAAGTAAGTGCATAGTTATGATGAGCAAGTGTGCCTATACCACAATTATGAATTTTATGGCCCCAGGGTCAAGGGTTCTGGTGTTGGGGGGGGGGGGGGCTCTATTGATTATATAGTGAAATTACATGAATTCTTTGAAAATCTTCTTATCTGCTCCTAGGTATTAAATAAACTTACTAAGTGCAAAGTTATAATGAGAAAGAGTGCCTCTACCAAAATTGTAAATTTTATGGCCCCAGGGTCAAGGGTTCTGGTGTTGGGGGGGGGGGGCTCTATTGATTATATAGTGAAATTACATGAATTCTTTGAAAATCTTCTTCTCTGCTCCTAGGTATAAAATAAACTAACTAATGCATAGTTATGATGAGCAAGAGTGCCTCTACCAAAATTGTGAATTTTATGGCCCCAGGGTCAAGGGTTCTGGTGTTGGGGGGGGGGGGGCTGTATTGATTATATAGTGAAATTACATGAATTATTTGAAAATCTTCTTCTATGCTCCTAGGTATTAAATAAACTAACTAAGTGCATAGTTATGATAAGCAAGAGTGCCTCTACAAAAATTGTGAATTTTATGGCCCCAGGGTCAGAGGTTCTGGTGTAAGGATTGGGCTCTATTGATTTTATAGTAAAAATACATGATTTTTTTGAAAATCTTCTTCTCTGCCCCTGGGTATTAAATTAACCAAGTAAGTAAATAGTTATGATGAGCAAGAGTGCCTCTACCAAAATTGTGAATTTTATGGCCCCAGGGTCAAGGGTTCTGGTGTTTGGGGGGGGCTCTATTGATTATATAGTGAAAATACATTAAATCTTTGAAAATTGTCTCTGGGTATGAAGCAGATGAACTACCTATATAGTTATGACGAGCAAGGGCCCTAATCTTGCAGAATTGTGAATTTCAAGGCCCCAGGGTCAGGGGGGGGGGGGCTCTACTTATATACTGGAAATGAATTAATTGTTTGAAATCTGGTCCTTTGTATTTATAAAACAATTATTTACTTTTTGATAGGCAATTTTAAGGGTGCCTTTTAAAAATTTGTGCAACCTAGGGTCAGAGGTTTATGTCAGAGTGTTACGGGC